ATATCTTTACCAGAATATTCGCCCATTTGTGAAAGATGAATACAAAGATATTACTTGCCCAAGACCAATCTATACTGGCAATGAATAAAATATTTAGGATAAAATTACCTCTAATGACTTCATCACTTGTTAATTTATCCCTTGCTGTCATTAAATTTAATAAGTTTTAATCTTTTGACAAACATTACTAGCCTTTTCCACTTTTAAAGCAAAAAAGTACTAAAATAATTATATACTTAACATACCTTAAAGATATAAGTATATTAAAAGAAGAAAATCATGACAAACATAATAATAAATCTCCAAGAAAGAAACAAAGAACTATTAGACAAAATTGCTGATTTAGAAAAGCAATTAACTGATAAGGAAGAGAATTTTAAACTAAGGATTTGAAATGCGGTTCATGGTCTTACTGAAAATGTAGAAGAATATACTGGTGTAACTTTGAAAACCTTAGAAAGATTTACTTGACCTGAAAATGGTTGAATAAGTTATCCCGAAAAGAATGGACTTGAAATCGGAAGAGTTGTTTTCAGCAATGAATTCACTCCTGAAAATATTGTTAAAAGTTTTGGTAAGGAAGCCCAAAATTATGAAGAAACTTTTAGTTTTACCTACCAAGAAAATAAAGAACTAAAAGAAAAGAATACTATTCTAGAAAAAACCAATCAAAAATTAGAAAAAGAACTTGAATTTGAAAAAGTAAGTGCTAGTTGCCATTTAGATGCTGTGGGAGTTTGTGAGGATTGATGCAATGAAAAGCATGCCAACAAAATAGAGAGCTTGGTAGAAGAACTCGATAACAACAAAACCACATTGCTTGATTTTGTTAGAAGACTTGCTGAAGAAAAGGTAAAAAATATGAAGTTGGTAGAGCAATCAGAGGAGGATAAACAAACTTTGAAAAATCTTAATGAAAGACTAGTAGAAGAAAAACAAAACAGTTTGAAAATTTACCTAGATAAACCTTTACCTAAATTACCAAACAAGTTCAAAACCTTTAAGAGAAAAGTAAAAACTAAATTCCAACACTTAGTAGAAAAAGTTAAATCTGAAAAGCAAGAACTAGAACAAAAACTTATTGCTAAAATTGAGGTAAAGATTGGTAGTTGCTAATATATGAAAGATCTAATTTATACACTTTTAGAGTTGGAAGATTGGTGTAGTGATGGTTCAGTATGTGATTTTGCTTTGGTCTTAAAAAAGCATCTTATCAAGTCAAAACCCGCAATCAAATCACCAACAAAATATTAGCAAATGATTTTATTTGTGAAAATTGTAAGGTAAGATTTGAAAATGATGAGTTGCCAAAGTGTAACAAGTGTGGTAGATTAAGAATTCAATCTGACATTGAATATCCTACCAGCAAAGTTGTTTGTCGTTGTGTTAAGAGAAAGGAAAATACAGAAGAGAAAAAACTCCCTCTTTTACCTCACCAAAATGGAGGAATGGCACTTTTTTATGAAACACAAATAAACTCTTTACAAGAGCAATTAAACACTGCTGGAACAGAAATTGATACTCACCTAGAAGCTTTGGAAATCTCAGAAGATTGGCATAAAAGGCAGAAACAAGAGTTGTTAGATAAGATTAAACAACAAGAAGCAGAAATTATTAAATTGACTCAGAAAATTGAACAATTGAAAACTTTAACCCCTCAAGAGTTAGTCAATAAGTTAAATGCTTATGAGACAGAGAATGAGAAATTAAAGAACCAGTTAGAACAATTACAACAGAATGGTCAATTAACTGCACAAATTGAAATTAAAGAAACTAAGAAATGACCTTGATTGAAAATAAGAAAGTAATTT